TTTCCCCAGGCTAAAGTCTCTGTTGTAGATAAAGAATCATAACACAGCAAAATTGCTGGCTCGAGGTGAGATGTCCTTGGTGCAGGTTAACCTATTGGTTGATATGTTAAGAAAGTTGCTTTACTGTTGTGTAAAAATACTAAGGAAATTGCTGTAGGAAAAGACAGTGTTTGCTAAGAACAAGCTTTTGTTGGTGGATTGACTTAACCTTTTACAAATTGCATTATGGAATGTCACTTTGTTTATTTCACTGATGTTACTAGTTTCCATTTGTTAAAACTATGCTTAGCCATAATTTTGCCCATATCCTTGTGTTCTTGTAATGATTAAATCAACTGAATTTTCTTGTGAAATTTCCCTGTCTTTACAATAAAAGGGAGAGGCTAACTTTGAATCAGTGCTATCATATTCAGTATTCTCCTCCTAATGGGGAAATTACTGAACTGCAGTCCTTCCGGGCCTCTCAATGCGTATAGTACTTCGAATAATCATGTAATTCTTTTTTTTGTCTCTGTTACACAGGGGGAAGTATAACACTACAACCCTTCACTGGAGGGCACTATGGTCTGAACAGGCTCAACACTGTACCAAAGGGACCAGGGCGTCAGGGAACCAGGGCTTACCCCACCCTGCAGAGGTCCGATCTACACCGGGAGGCATCCTCTAGAGCTCAACTCACCCCTCCAGGAACATCCAGCCCAAATGGCCCCCAGACATACTGAAACCATCCCCTACAAATGAGGGTCTACAAAGGAGGCTCTGGCTGTCCTCCAAGCAGATGAGACTGAGCACTGATGGGGTTGACTTCTCAGCACTGCCTGGATCTGCTTTCAGGGGCCTTTTAGATTTCCTTCTAATGACGGTCTAACGAACAGGACCCACCCCCAAGTATACCTTCATGGCCATCAGCTCCTGCATCAGCACGGCATTCTCGAGATCCAGCCTCTGGCTGTCTCCCCGGGGCTTGACGTCGTAGCTGAGCGGGTCGATGTGGATGCTTTCCAGCTCTAGCATGGTCAGCTTGACTGCGGCCCTGTCATTCTTGAGCTGCTGGATGTAATCCTTCAGCCTCTGCTCATCTTCCTTCGTGAACTCGGTATCGCAGCTACTGGCCGTGGAGCTGGTTGTGCTGAGAATACAAAAAGCCCACCACCCCGTTTCCAAGTCATCACTAACAGTCTTTTCTCCTCGCCCTTCCCCACACAACCTCTCCCACCATTACTTAGATGTTAGTCCACACTCATGGAACAGGAATTAACTATAAAGAATACTAGAGGGGCCGGCCCGTGGCTCACTCGGGAGAGTGCGGTGCTGATAACACCAAGGCCGCGGGTTCGGATCCCATATAGGGATGGCCGGTTTGCTCACTGGCTGAGCGTGGTGCTGACAACACCAAGTCAAGGGTTAAGATCCCCTTACCGGTCATCTTTAAAAAAAAAAGAATACTAGAGATATTTACACCCTTTGACACGATGTTGTGGACCCTAGATATGAATTTCTAGGGGAATAATTCCACAGAAGCAAAAAGATACACACTTACAAAGATGTTTCATGAAATCAAATCTAATCTAAATATAATTTAAAACAGTTTACTGAGGGCCAGCCTGTGGCTCACTCAGAGTGCGGTGTTGATAACACCAAGGCCATGGGTTCGGATCCCATATAGGGATGGCCGGTTAGCTCAATGGGTGAGCGTGGTGCTGACAACACCAAGTCAAGGGTTAAGATCCCCTTACTGGTCATCCTTAAAATAAATAAATAAATAAAAGTTTACTGAATTATTATACATATCAAAAGGACGGAAGTCATGTGTATATTATAGGGATAATTACAACAGTGGTGGAGACAGTTTAAGTGAGGAAATAGAATGAAATATAACATGTAATAAAAATAGGTGCACTTGTGGACAGGACTTAAAAAAGGGATATATTATTGGACAGATCAACCAGGCAAAGAATTAGCAGAGAAACACAAGAACTTAACAAAACTNACTATTAGATTTAGCACCAACCCCACAGGTTCAGGGCAAAGTCTTCCACAAACTGACCTAGCTTCAGACGCCAGCCACAGATCTCAAGGGGGGGACTCCAGGCCACCTGTACTTCTGATTGCCTACAAATTTGGGGTTTCCCATGACCCCTGCAAGATCAATAACTTGTTGGAACAACTTGTAGAACCAAGGAAAGCACTATACTTGTAGTTTTATTACAATGGGTACACATGGGTTAAAGTCTGAGAGTCTTGAGCACAGATCTCCTGTGCCCTTTCCCACTGAGTCAGGGTGTGTCACCTGCTGGCACATCAATGTGCTCACCAACTAGGAAGTTTCCCTGAGCTTCAGTGTCCAGTTTTTATTAGGGTTTCATTACACAGGCATGACTGATTACATCACTGGCCACATGATGGAACTCAATCTCAGCTCTCTTCCTTGCACTGAGGCCAGGTGGCTAAAGTACCACGTCCTCCTGGGGACCAGCTTCCATCTGTCTAAGGGCCCACCCTGAGTCACACTGTTAGCATAACAAAGACACTCCTATCATACAGGAAATTCCAAATGTTTTTGAAGCTCTGTGCTGGAAGCAGGGACAAACATCAGATATATTCTTGATCATACCACAGGGGCCTTCTGAGAACTGGCAGCAGGTGAAGGGCCAGCCACAAGCACGCAGAGTGTGTCCTGCTGAAGGCATGGAAGTTTGACCACTTCCAGTGAGGGGTACCGGCTTTCTAAGAAAGCTCCCCCTGCTTGAGAAAGGTCAGCAGATAACTCCACCAACGGGTGAACAGCCCAAGATTTCATCAGGAAACACCTGAACAGCACTACAATGTGGAGTGTACTAACATTAATAAAGCAAATGTATTTCACAGAGCCTAGCTTCCAAGGCCCTGTAGTTTCAGGTATAACCCAGCTTTTAAAAATTACATATAGAAATGTTAAGCTTGCAAAAGACAGGAAACTTTCCCCAGGCTNTCGGCGGGAGCGCCGCCGCGCTCCCAAGCGGTGCACTGTAGCAGTGCGCCACCAGGCCAGCTCCCCGAGGGTTTTTTTTTCTGAGGCCAGCACTGATCCCAATAGGAGAGAGTGGTTATGAGCCGTTTACTCAGCACTGCTGCAACCCACTCCAGCCTGCTGCACTTGCCTCCAGTTCCTGATTGTGACCCGGCTTTTCTCCTAGAGTGCCCCCTCAAGTCTTGACTCCTGGGAGCCAGGAACATGGCAGAATCCAAGGCTGTATACTTCAGGGCTTTGCTCACAGTAGAGTGGAGCTTGGATGTGGATCCCAGCCCTGACTCTCCTATGTCAACAGTGCCTGGCAGTGGAGTCCTGCACTGGCCCAGCACCTGAAGAGCAGCCCCTGCAAGACCTCGCCTCTGCTGTGGGTCTGCCAAGACGCAGGTTGCAGTGACACGAGATCACGTTCCTGGCAGGCTGTTATTCTGTCCCACCCCAAATGTGTGTTTTGTAGTACAACTCTCACACTAACTATTAGATTTAGCACCAACCCCACAGGTTCAGGGCAAAGTCTTCCACAAACTGACCTAG